AAGCGCTATTTGCAGCATGTGAATTGGAAGTCTTCGACAAACTGCGATCCGCATCCTCACCACAATCGGCCGACGATATAACAAAGGCATTGTCCTCCGATCTTGACGCCGCTACACGTCTCATGGACACCCTTGTGGCAATGGAATTGCTAGAAAAATTCAAACAGGGTGACCAGTGGTTGTACAGTAATTCTGAAATGGCCACTAAATTTCTCACCAAAGACAGTCCAGATTCGTATCTAGATATGATCGCATTTACAAACAAAACGCTGTATCCTATCTTTGGAAATTTAGAAAGCGCAATTCTTGAAGGAACTACGCAGTGGCAGAAGACGTTTGGAATGTCTGCAGAAGACTTCTTTCCCAATGTTTGTAACACCGAAGAAGCCAAATTACGGTTCATGGGGGCCATGCATTGTAATTCACTCTATGCAAGTTATGCTGCTGCTAAAGCCATTGATCTAAGCGCGTACAGAAGCTGCTGTGATCTAGGAGGTAAGTCAAAAAACGGAAAGTTCGAATACATCACACGATATTTTTAAACCTTTGCCTGTCAGCACTGTGAAAACAATACTGGCTGAAGTTTATTCCACCTCTTCTGAACGAGCAATATAAAGAAACCACGATCAACAAGAAGACGCCCGAAGGCGTTTACGCGGGATGTGTTGGTGTAAGAAAGAATTACCAGTATGTTGAATGGCAATGAAAAGTTGAGTAGTGTATGCAACAACTGTGTGCAGGAGAGACGGAGATGTTCTGTTAAGGACTAATACACTAGAAGATGAGTTACACACAAGGGTTCTTTTGCTACTCAAAACAAAACTTACATCAATATTACCACCATAAAATGGTAGGAGTATGGGGTAGTTCACTAAAATTTGCATTCCTTTACTAATGTCCTCAAAAAATGCACTTCCACATTTAACAATAGCATGTAATGTATCATACTTTCAAAAACTACAGGGGTGCAAGGCTGTGCTCTAGGGAAAATTTCAGGGAGCCTTTCGGGCTCCCCAAGCATTTTTAGCTGGGATGCCCAGGCCTCCAAGTTGGTCGCCCAAATTAATAAATCAATGAGTTGTTAGTTAAATTATTTTCTTAACAAGTCAAGCAGACTTTTGTGAATATTTTTTTCATGCAAAATCACATCCCTTTGACTGGGCTCCTGAGCTTGCGAAAAAAAAAACCCGCATGTTGTCATATGAAAGTAAGTTTTCGCGCCATATTAGAAACATGGGCAACGCCGCCGAATATTTCATGTTTTTTAAATGGAAAAGTAAGATTCTGGTCTGTTTGTGTCTAGTTGGAGTTATGAAAAGCGGGTTAGCACACATTTGTAATTTTTCACAACTTTCCCTGTCTAATAGCTTGACATATGTTTACTGTGTTGGTTTGTTATGTCGTTTTTTTTTAGGCTTGTTTTGTGGCTAGGGATCCGTGTAGAAGTGGATGTAGACTGAATTACTATCTTAACCCCCCCCCCCCCCCTTTTTTCAATTCACTCCAACTCCTTATTTAATAACTTGGATGCATTCTGATAACAAAGCGCACACATCCAACATAGTTGTGTTTCCAGTGGAGTTATCGTATTTTTTTTGTACACTTTCATCGATCCTACCGCGTGATTTATATATATAAGTTGAGATTATAAAATCCTGGGTTAAACGCTTCCAGTTTCTTTTGAAAATTTCCCTTTTCAATTTGTTGACATTTTTTTTTTTTTTTTGTTGTTTTTTTGGTTTTTTTTTTGCTTTTTTTGTGGGTAGGGATCCGGGGGGAAGTGGAAGTTGACTTGATTATTTTCTTCCCCCCCCCCCCCCCGATTTTTTTCCTTACCTACAATTCTTTCTTTAACACAAGTGACAGTTATTTGAAATCAGCGCGCGCCTAAAGCTGGTTTCAGTGCCGCTTAGCAGTTTAGTTTAATATTGGTCACCTTGAGAAAAGTTTCCCGGAGAGCATCATGTAAAGCTCTGAGATGGGAGAAAGTTATTACAATTCGCAAGTCTGACTCCTGTTCAAAATCCGTTAAGAAATTGTGTAAATCGCTCCTATTTACCAGAAAAATGGCCACAGCAGCCTTAAATAGAAAAAAGATAGAGATGGAGAAACGCGTTAATTACCGTTTTTAACATTCCCGATGGGGAAAACACGGCTACCTTTTTGGAGGTTACGTGTCTGCCAACAATTTTTCGCTGGGTTTACACAAAAATTCTATCCAAGCAAGATTTTCGGAAAATTAGTTGTAAATGTGGTAAAAAGCAAACGAGCTATGACTCTGTTTGCTGCAATGGAAATTTAAAATTCCCTGCTATTTCTCTCTGCTCTAGGGGCTGTGGGAACTCTCGCCTATGCTCTCTGTCAGTTCTACCCTGAAATGAAGATAACAGTTTGTGACTTGGAGCCAGCCGTGAGTTTAGCCCATCTGTTCCGACCATCAGTTGAAGCTTGCCCAAATCAAGCCAATGTTTCCTTTGCGGTCGGCGATTTCTTCAAACCTGAAACCATACCAAAGGCCGATTTGTATGTGTTGTCTCACGTTCTCCACGACTGGTCAGAGGATAAAGTTGACTTGATTCTTTCAAATGTCTACAAGTGCTTACCCTCAGGTAATTTCTGAATAGAAAGAAGGTTTTGCCGTTCTTTAAGGGATCCAGCACGCACGTACGGAAATACGTGCGTGAAATTAAATCCAAGCAGAAAATACTAGGTTCAGCACGTAACTTACAGTTCGGATCAAGAAAACGAGGTTTATTATGTCTTTGGTTTAATTACTTACTGAGAGGGCATCAAGGATTACAGTTCAAGCAGGAAAGCTGTAAATGATCGATCTGAGTGAAATCCTACACACGAGCGTCAAAAATCGTGGCTTTGTGACGCCAAAACACTTAACACACCCATATTAAAGTCCAAACTTACAAGAAACGCCTTAACAGCTTTACAATGTTTTTCCCTCATGAATTGTAACGAAAACGAACTTTAATTTTGAATTCACGGTCTTTAGTCTTTAAGCGAAATGAGCCCGCGAACTGACTGATGAAGAAGTGCTTTGGTAACAAAGGGCGTTTTAATCTAGCATGCAGCCAACACGGTAACGGTTGACAGTGCATATAGAAATGGCGTATAAGATTATTGTATGACCAATCATCACTCTTGCTAGCCTGACTTCGTCAGTGCTGGAGACGTTTTAACTTCCTCAGTAACTGAGGGTTTAAAAACGACTCGAAGTAATCGTCTGAAATTCAGGTTACTCTGTTGCCATCAAAAGGCAAACAACGCGCCATTTTTCATATCCCTTTTATTTTTTTCAGGTGGGGGACTCCTCATTTGCGAACGGATTTTAAACGAAGACAAACGTGGCCCATTGCCTTCTCTCATTTTCAGTCTTCTAATGTTGGTGTCTACAGGTGGAAAAGAGAGATCAGCTTCAGAATACAAGCATCTCCTGGAAAAGCATGGGTTTGTAGATGTTCAAGCGAAAAGTGTTTATTTTACTCAAGATGCCATTTTCTGCAGAAAGATGTAACATGCGGCAACCATTGCATAAAATTAAGTTGAACACTGCCTTACGATTGACTTATGGTCATTGAATGCCAGTGAATCGAGTTTATATTACATTAGAACTGGGTATCCTTTCCTAGTAGGATAGCCATGGCAGCAGTGGCTATGGGACCGAGCGCAAATTAGCCATAAACATAGGCACGTTAAACGTGCATGAGCTACTTTGAATGCTTCAGTGTAACTTTAATACTTCAGTGTAACCTTACCAAGAGTGATGAATGTACCTTTTTCGTCCTAAATGTAGACTGGGTTTTGTGCGAAATTGGTTTATTGCCGTACATAAATGAAAACGCGAAACGCTCAACTGCGTCGATCCTCATGCTATATATTCATTTTCCTCTGTCTTTCCCTGTTACATTTGGTGCAAGTTTAACAAATTGAAAAAGTAAAATAAATATCTACTCACCAAATGTTGATTTGAAGGAGAACTCCAATGTTTCCTTGGAGTTTCTTGAGCCAAAGTGTGACTCATCGAATTCGAGTAGTTAAGAAATACCAGGATTTTTATCATTGTGGTAGATGGTTGCATCATCACAATGCACGAGGTTTTCACGTGCGATTCTACTCAATGAAACAGTCTTTAACTCCGACAGCTTATTTTTTCATGTTTTAAAAGCTATTGCTTCTTAAAAGAGAGGAGCCTTTTTTAAGGCATTGATTACAAAACGAATCAGGTCTTCATACCTTGAAGTTACTATTGTTATTGTGAAAAGCCAATCTGCTTGAGATGTACAGTCACACAACTGCCACGTGAAAGTGTTGGACTTTGCCCCCTTTCGTGGTTCGTACGTGAGGGAATTCGAGTTATCACACAGTAAACTAGTAAACAGAATTATAAAAATAACTCATGCACACAATTTGCACGTGAAGATGTTGGTCTTGGGCCCTTTTACAATTTGTACGTAAAAAAAAACGCAAATTGTTTACTACAAAATTTTCTCAACCGATTTTAAGAAATCATCTCCGCTTCATTATAACATCTGCAATTATATTATGTTTCATGCAACGTCAAGGTTGGTAGCCTAACATTTATTAACTTCCAAGAAAATTATCAAACTGCCCAAATATATTTCTGCTCATATCATGTTACTCCATTCAATAAAATAGTATCTAATTATTGTGTCAACTAGCTTCTTCCAATTTTATTCCCAATTTTATTCCCAATTTTATTCCCCAATTTTATTCCCTAACGCTACTGTTTCTACTTAAGTTACTCATCTTTACCAAATTAAATCCGTTTCAATAACTATAATGCTTAGTATGCAGGAAGGATGTATCATGTTGTTCACTTATTATTCTTTTTTGTTGTTGTTGTTTTGCCGGAACGAAAAAGGTCTGTTGAACTCTGTAAGCGAGAGAATAATATTTTTAAATCTTGTTTACAGGATTTACAATACTCGGTACAGCTTTAAAAAAAATAAGCTGCCTCTCAAACTTGTAAAACCACATTTTATAGGCCGCATACTTTCAAATTAAAGTCCATATTTAAATATCAATTATTGCTTCACCAGAAGAGCTTTGAAAATACATGATCTTTTAAACTCTACCTTGAAGCAGGTGAAACACAACTCATAAATACGTGCGTCAGTACCGTTCGCGATAGCCGAATTCGGTCAGAAATGTCTTGAAATAGCATCCACACTAAAATATGAACCCGTAAACAGCTGCATCACTGTACACAGCGTTTGAATCATGAAGATATTTAATATAATGTTTCCAAACACCTGTAGCCGTAATAAAAGACGAAAAAATTGCGAAGAATCAAGATGGCGGTCTCAAAGTGCCCTTGTTCGACCTTTAGCAATGTCATGTTTAAGTACTGTAGATGCCAAGATCTCATTGGTTCCTAAGCATCAACTCATAGTACCTTCAATCTTATTGGCTCTTGCAACAAACATCCGAACATACAAAGATACAAAGATACAAAGCTACAAAGATACAAAAATACAAAGATACAAAGCCACAAAGATACACACGCTCACACCACTGACATATGAGCTATTTTTTCAAAATAGCTCAAATAAAACTGCCCCTAGGGGAGCTTTTCTGGCAGTGTTACGGACTTGTATGGCGTTACAGCGTGACCTGGGTCACGTGAAACTTGACGTTTGCAATCATGTGACTTAAGCGTTTTTCGATTTTTCCTGTTCTGAAATAAATTTCTCTCTCTGTGGTTGATATTTATCGATGTGGAACCTTAAAATCCTTTGAATTCTTCAAAACCAGCGACTAACGCCCTGTAAAGCGTTGCCTTCTCTTACAGCAGCTTAGTCATTAACAGCAAATTAAATGAAAAACATAATTTTGATTTAGGGACGGACCATCAGACAATTCAGTTCATATCAGATAACAAATATGTGAAGTTGTTGTTCTAGGTTAAGTATTAATATAGATGTCACTGGCTTACATATATTAACACTGGCTTTTGTGGTGGCCGGGATAGAAGAGGAGGGATCAGAAAATCTTTTACCGTCAATGTGGGGGGATCAAACCCACACTGCATGCTTTAAGGAGAGATAACGTAAGTGCTCCGTTGTCGCAACAAAAATCCTCCCCCCCCCAGGCGATAAATAATGACCGGTCCCTTATGCGGAACGTGAACGAGCAACGACGAAATTTTATTTCTCTTTCTGAACTTAGATATGGTCCCTAGGAATTCAAGTCCAGTTGGGTTCACCTACATTCAGTCAAAGTCAGTGGGTATGAATAAAAAAAAGTACAAATTCACTTTTTAAGCGACCTTCTCGTTGCTGTCGCGTCGTTTTAAAGTCACTAATTATTAGAGCATGCGCTAACGCTGTTATCATCTCTTGGCTCGGGTACCATACCGGACGCCATGAAAATCATACCTGATACGGATTCTGTTCACACATAAGAACAGTTGTGGCGCGTTTTCTGTGACGGAGCGAAGCTGGGCGGCGCCGATCTCTAAAGAGGAGAGTCACATATCGGATAGATGTTCACACCATGACGGATAGCTTTGCGTGGCGCCACGAAAAGCCATCACTGTGTATTGTAAACATAACCTAACGGCGCTTTCCATAAGTCAGAACTGGCCGGCCGGACCATGGCCAGACCAGGCATTTTGGCAATGAAATAGGCGTTTTCCAAGAGGTTTTGATGGAAAAAACAACGCCTTTGTGCATAATGTGTAGGATTTGACTGATCTGGATGGTTATTGTTGATTAAAAGTGAAATTCTCATTACGATGGGAATGGGCTGGTCAGTCAGTTCTGACAAATGGAAAGCGCCCTGGTTTGACTGGGAGTCTGGCAGGCTTATCCTCCCTCCCATTAGACAACTTTTCTCTCTAAACGGGGCCTTTCAAAGGGCGCCCGCAAGGTGTTAGGAAATTATTGCGTCATTGTAGCGGGAAAGCTCGTCACGTGATCTGAAAACTGAACTTTGTGCAAGAGTCTAGGAACTGTGTAGTCATTCGGAGTCGTGGAGCTGATCGAGTGTGTAGATTAAGTGTAGATCATCGAAATTGTACGCGAATTGATGTCGATCTCTAAAGTGGAGCTTCACATATCGGATAGATGTTCACACTATAACGGATAGCTTTCCGTGGCGCCACGAGAAAGCCATCACGGTGTAGTGTGAACATAACCTAAGTTGACTGGGAAGCTGGCAGGCTTACCCTCTTTCCCATTAGACAACTTTTC